TCTCTCTCTCTCTCTCTCTCTCTCTCTCTCTCTCTCTCTCTCTTGCATTCACATACTTGTGGTTGGCTACTGCTTGCCATGTACATATTCCTCTCACGCTTTGTGTTGTCGTTCTGCCCCGCTGTAGTTAACCGCTGTCTGTTGCGCATGAGATATTTGTCGGAGTCCTGACCCGTACTATTTAACCTCTAAGTGTTGCTGCATTTCTCTCGACTCCAAGTACTTGCGGATGAGTACTGCGTGTCACAACTGTGTCCAGCGGTGGTGTTTGTTGTTGTTCTGACCCGCAGTAGTAAACCGCCGTTGCCGTTGCATCACTGCCTCTCGGACAACATGAGGTTCATTACTGCTGGCCAATTAAGGTCTCTTAAGTACTGTTTGTTGGAGTTATGGCCCGCAGTTGTGAACCTCGCGATGGTAGCACACTGTAGTTTCCCTGCTACGGAAGGTTCACTACTGCGTGCCATGTTTTGCCTCCAACCGGTGTTGTTTGTTGTCATTCTAGCCCGCAGTAGTGAACCGCCCTCTGTCGATGCATCACAGCCTGTCCGACAGCATGAAGTTCACTACTTGCGGCCAATTTCGGTCTCTAAAGTGATGTTTGTTGGAGTTATGGATCGCAGTAGTAAACCTTCCGTGAGAGTACACTCTGTAGTTTCCCAACTACAAAAGGTTCACTACTGCGTGCCATGTAAGTGTTAACCGGTGCTGTTTGTTGTCGTTCTGGCCCGCAGTAGTGAACCCCCCTCTGTCGATGCACCACAGCCTGTCCGACAGCATGAAGTTCACTACTGGCGGTCAATTTCGGTCTCTGAAGTGATGTTTGTTGGAGTTATGGCCCGCAGTAGTGAACCTCGCGGTGGTAGCACACTGTAGTTTCCCAACTACGGAAGGTTCACTACTGCGTGCTATGTACGTGTTAATCGGTGCTGTTTGTTGTCGTTCTGGCCCACAGTAGTGAACCGCCCTCTGTCGATGCATCACAGCCTATCCGACAGCATGAAGTTCACTACTGGCGGCCAATTTCGGTCTCTGAAGTGATGTTTGTTGGAGTTATGGCCCGCAGCAGTGAACCTTCCATGAGAGTACACTCTGTCGTTTCCCAACTACGGAAGGTTCACTACTGCGTGCCATGTAAGTGTTAACCGGTGCTGTTTGTTGTCGTTGTGGCCCGCAGTAGTGAACCGCCCTCTGTCGATGCACGAGAGTCTGTCCGACAGCATGAAGTTCACTACTGACGGCCAATTTCGGTCTCTGAAGTGATGTTTGTTGGAGTTATGGCCCGCAGTAGCGAACCTCGCAGTGGTAGCACACTGTAGTTTCCCAACTACGGAAGGTTCACTACTGCGTGCCATGTACATGTTAACCAGTGTTGTTTGTTGTCGTTCTGGCCCGCAGTAGTGAACCGCCCTCTGTCGATGCATCACAGCCTGTCCGACAGCATGAGGTTAACTACTGCCGGCTAATTTCGGTCTCTCAACTGATGTTTGTTGGATTTATGCCCGCAGTAGTGAACCTCACGGTGGTAGCACACTGTACTTTCCCTACTAGGGAAGGTTCACTACTGCGTGCCATGTAAGTGTTAACCGGTGCTGTTTGTTGTCGTTGTGGCCCGCAGTAGTGAACCCCCCTCTGCCGATGCATCACAGCCTGTCCGACAGCATGAAGTTCACTACTGCCAACCAATTTCGGTCTCTCAAGTGATGTTTGTTGGAGTTATGGCCCGCAATAGTGAACCTCGCGGTGGTAGCACGCTGTAGTTTCCCAACTACGGAAGGTTCACTAATGCGTGTCATGTAAGTGTTAACCGGTGCTGTTTGTTGTCGTTCTGGCCCGCAGTAGTGAACCGCCCTCTGTCGCTGCATCACTGCCTGTCCGACACCACAAGGTTCACTACTGCCGGCCAATTTTTATCTCTCATGTCATGTTTGTTGGAGTTATGGCCTGCAGTAGTGAACCTCGCGGTGGTAACACACTGTAGTTTCTCTACCACGGAAGGTTCACTACTGCGTGCCATGTAAGTGTTTCCCGTTGCTTCTTGTTGTCGTTCTGGCCTACAGTAGTGAACCTCGTGCTGTTGCTGTATCTATGCATGTCTCTCTGTCAGAAGTTCACTACTTCGTCTGTATTTGGCAAGAATGTGATGTTTGTTGGAGTTATGGCCCGCAGTAAGCAACCTCTCTCTACTGTCAAAAAACACTCTCTCTCTCTCTCTCTCTCTCTCTCTCTCTCTCTCTCTCTCTCTCTCTCTCTCTCTCTCTCTCTGGGGTGAGGGGAGCATGTCGGAGCTACGTGTTCTCGTACATGTATGTGGTGTCTCATGCAATAGATGGAACCCGCGATTGCATCGACTGTCAACGCTGGAGAGACTTGCGCCATGGAGACAGAGGACATTGTGAAGGGTCTTGCAGATGGCAGCAAGGAAGGGAATTCGGTTGAGATGAACACCACTGACTGTGCAGACGTGCTGGCAACAATATATGCACAGACTGCAGAGATGATGGGTGATGGTGATGAATCAGAAAATGATGCAGGAGGGAGCACTTGTGAGACGGAAAAGGTTGGGGAAGAGAGAGGAGAGGGAGGTATGGGGAGCAGGAAAAATCATGCAGGGTGTATTGTTGAGGATGAAAATGTGGTCAAGACATTAGCAGGAGAACAGTTTTCATATGACATTAATTGGGTGCCTGGTCGTGTTCAACCGGGTATTGTTGGAGGAGTACCCTGCTTCGCGTTCAAAGTGGTTGGGACTTGGGTTCCATTTCCTGTCCCCAAAACAAGCGCATGGCGAAACGTGACTCTATCAATCGTGTTTGACAGAGTATTAAGGTTGAACGATGCGGCAAGAGCTCAGGAGAAAGGGAAACATGCGTTGAAAATGTGGCGTGTTCTAGAGGCGAAGGGCGAGTTCAGGCTTAACGATTTTTTGTACGACAGTTTTGATTGCGGAACGCCATGGGTGATTGGTGGGAACGATGCAGCAGCGAGAACGGTGTGCCCCGAGAATGATGCAAGGAGGGATCCTAGGTGGGGTTTGGTGCCATATGAGATCCCGATTACATGTGGCCGGGTGAGGATGCAGATGCGTGATGCCATGAGAAATGTCTGGAACACGCATTACATCAATGGCAGGTTCTCCTTCACGCATCTCAACAGGGAGGTGTCAGAAGAGGAGAAGAAGGCAATGACATGTCCCCCTCATACTGCTAGGTGTTTTTTCCCGCCGCTTCGGAACCCTATGGAGTTGAAGGTGGTGGACGGGAAACTATTCTCCGGTGAGGATGGTGTCATATACACAGCTGCAAGAGGGAAGGAAGCCACGTATGATGGACTATGGTCGCAGATATGGGACCATGTCACATTGAGGCGTGACGTTTTGACTGCCACGGACGTTGGGGCCCATGTCATCCCTGAGGGACAGTTGCAGCAGCATATGGCCCCTGAAAAGTAAAGCTATCGCGTCAATTGGGTCCCGGGATGTTTGCATCCTGCAGTGGTTGATGGCAAGGTGACGATGGCAGCAAAGCTGCAGTCAAGGCAGTGGCTTACATTGGGATGGATGTATGCAGGCATTGTGGAGCATTGGCAGTTCCTGGTTGTTCTGGCACGTGTCTCAATTTTCAATGTAAATGTTAAGGACCACGTGTTGTTGGTTGAACACACAAAGCGTTGTTGGGAGAAGATCAGGGAGGAGGACCGTAAGATGGTGTGTGCGGGTTACGACTCCATGAAAGACCAGGGGATGTGGTCCATGGTTGAGGGGAGTTGCGCTAGGCAAGAGCACGGCGACGGTGAGAACATATACATGGCTCACATTCGCCGTAGGCACCGTTGCACGACCCTTCTTGGTTGGGTCCCAGTCGTATGTCCCATGACATACGAGCATGGTGGAGACGTTACCATGACATTCACAGACCCGCTTGGTGTGCCTTTCCATCTGACCTACTCAGATGGACTCCTGCGAGACATTCGGTATGTCGTGGAGAACGACTTGGCAGGTGGATTGACGTGGAAGGGTAAGAGGACAGAGAAGCGCTTCGGAATTTTCCGTTTGTCTGCTGAGGTGGAGGGCCCATGTGGTCCTGGTGGCAGCGCAGGGTGCTCTGTAACACAGGGGGACACGACCGGCCCAAGTCACGCTGCGATGTCCCAGAGCCCGAGGAAGATGAAGAAGTGCGTGTCGAAACCGCCAACTGGGAAGACGGTTGCAGGCAAAAAGAAGAAGAGCCCGAAGCCCGTGCCAGCCACCGGTGACACTGCAGATGCACGCAGTCAGCCCCACAGACGCCGTCGACGCCCTGGGATGGCAACTCTGGCGGAAATCAGGAAGTTGCAACGATCCACCGACCTCTGATTGGCTTTCATGCCATTCTTGTGGATCGTGCGCGAGGTTGTGGAGGAGGACATTGCTCCTGCTGAGGGCGTGAGGTTTCATATGACAGCGGTGCGTGCTTTGATGGAGGCTGTCGAGGCGTACCTCGTTGTCAATTTCGAGAACACCAACGAGGTCGCGATCCACTCGAAGAGGGTGAGGATCCAGGTCAAGGACATGAGGCTGGTGGATAGGTTGTCGAAGCCTCGCAGGGTGGAGAAATATGAAGGTATGTTGGACGAGAGGGCAAGAGCAGAGGAGAGGCAGCGACGGATGGAGGCCAGACAGGCGAAGAGGGATGGCAGCAGAGCAAGCGCGAAGAAGAGGAAAGCAGTGCCTCGTAAGGGGGGGGGCGCGAAAAAAAAAGGCTGCTTGAGAATTGTGCTGTGTGTGTCGCATAATGGTTGTCTCATCTGTTTCTGTCATGGTTAGTCTTCGTGGTGTTCGGTGGCTTGGTTAGGTGGAGAGAGAGAGAGAGAGAGAGAGAGAGAGAGAGAGAGAGAGAGAGAGAGATCAGGTTTACTAGTGGGGGATATATATGTATAGATGGACGACACTGTCGCTGATTTTGCCTCCAACTAGTGAACCTCTTCTTTTTTTGTTTTTTTCTTGTTCTTCTTTCTTTCTTTCTTACTTTCTTTCTTTAACTCTCTATGGTTTTTTATTTTGTGTTCTTCCTTCTTCAAGTATCTTGGTTTGAATGTATAAACATGAGAGAAAGAGAGAGGATGAGGTTTTTTTTTTTCATCTTCTTCCTTTCTTGGTTTCAATGCATAAACATGCTTGGTTTCATCCAATTGAGAAATCTATAAAAATGAGGGGAGAGACAGAGAAAAAGGTGATTTCAAATTTTGTTTCCTCCCCTCTTATTCAAACAACGAACACCTATAATAATGTCGAATGACTGAACGTGGGACTACATTGCATTGTCCAACCTCTATCGCAGGAATAAATACACATAGGTCACAGATATACATGGACAACACAAAGAAGTTATGTGGTCCGTCTGCTCCATATGTTATGTATGTTTGTCTGTTTGTATGTCTGTCTGCAACACACACACACACACACACACACACACACACACACACACACATATTCTGGCATGCAGCATTGAAGTTGGCTACTACGTGCCAGAAATCGACGAATGATGACCGTTGGGACGGGGAATGGCACCCACTAGCCAACTTCGTCTGTCTGTTTGTCTGTCTGTCTGTCTGTCTGTCTGTTTGTCTGTCTGTCTGTCTGTCTGTCTGTCTGTCTGTCTGTCAACATGTTTGTCTGTCTGTCTGTGCATGTGTGTGTGTGTGTGTCTGTCTATCTCTTTGTCTCTCTGTCTGTCTGTGTGTCTGTGTGTCTGTCTGTCTATCTGTTTGTCTGTTTGTCTGTATGTTTGTCTGTCTGTCTGTGCACGTGTGTGTCTGTATGTCTATCTTTCTCTCAGTCTGTCGCTCTGTCTATTTGTCTGTCTGCCTGTATGTTTGTTTGTGTGTCTGTCTGTATGTTTGTCTGTCTGTCTGTGCATGTGTGTGTATGTATGTATGTATGTCTGTCTGTTTGTCTATCTGCCAGTCTGTCCGTCTATGTGTATGTATGTCTGTCTGTGTATTTGTCTGTCTGTCTGCCTGTATGTCTCTCTCCCCCCCCCCACACACACACACACACACACACACAGAGGCATGCAGCCTTGAATTCAGCTACTGCGTGCCAGAAACTTGCGAATGGCATCTCTCTCTGAGGGGAATGACACCCAGTAGCCAACTTCGTCTGTCTGTTTGTCTGTCTGTTTTTCTGTCTGTCTTTATGTTTGACTGTCTGTCTGGCTCGGGGTGTGTGTGTCTGTCAGTCCGTTTGTGAGTCTGTTTGTCTGTCTGTCTGTCTGTGTGTGGTGTGTGTGTGTGTCTGTCTGTCAACCATGTTGTCTATCTGTCTGTCCATATGTATGTGTGTGCGTGTCTCTCTGTATGTCTGTCTGTGTGTCTGTGTGTCTGTCTGTCTACCACACACACACACACACACACACATGCACACACACACACACACACACACACACACACAAACACACATTCTGGCATGTAGCAATGAAGTTGGCTACTGCGTGCCAGAATCTGAGGAATCACGACCGTTGCGACGGATAATGGCACGCAGTAACCAACTTGGGCACAGTGAAGGAGACACACACACACACATCAATGCACATGTACACTAATACACACACACACACACACACATAGGTCCATACACATATACACTGATACATGAACATACACACACACACACACACACATACACACACATACACACACACACACACAAACACACATTCTGGCATGCAGCAATGAACTTGGCTACTGCGTGCCAGAATCTGAGGAATCACCACCGTTGCGACTTGGAATGGCACGCTGTAGCCAACTTGGGCACAGACAAGGAGACTATGCACAGACCATGCACACGCACACACGCCAATGCACATGTACACACACACACACACGCATGTCAATGACGTTATTGTGCGTTTCGCTTGGCAGAGAGAAGAGGACAAAAGACAAACTGTACCATCATGTCGATGTCGGTAGCACAGGTGGAGAAGGCTTTTGCTGAGGTAATGAAGTATGCAGCGGAGAGCATCCACTACAACGGTGACATCGAGTTCTCTTTGCTGGAGGAGAGGGTGCCGAGGTACTTCGCAGTCAGTGTGGATATGAGATCCACAATCATGGCAAATGACGAGGATTGTGTCAAGGCACGAATGCTCTTGCAACGCTTCAGAGAGTCACCATGGACAACGAAGTGGAACACGGTCCTTATAGTCTAAAAGGAGTGGTTCAGTGGATGTGGAACGAAGGGATGTGCGAAGATGGAGACGTGGACATGACAATGCACCAAAAAGGGGGAACGTATGCACCTGCAGATTTCAAAAAGTTGTTGGGCACTGTGGCGAAGAACTCCGACATGCTTGTTGATGGGTCCAATGACGAGTTGAAAAGTGGTGCTATAGAGATCTTGGTGTTGTCCAGAATGAAGGACATCACACAAACACCACCACAGGACTTTCAAGATGTTCCTGTAATTGTTGCAGATGGTGTGAAATATGTTCTACTGGATCAGCTCTACGATTTCATGAAAAAGAGTGATGAGGATAGAAACGTCATCCACGAGGCGTTGCACGAAGTGACAGAGTTTGCACTGCAGGGTAAAGATCTGATCGAATTTGTGTCAGCGAGAGGAGAAGACGACTTCATATCCGGCAGACCGTTGTGGAGGGACTTATTGTCACGCGTTTTGGACCGGCTCAATCTTGCAAGTTGCGATGTTGAGAGACAAAGAGAAAGAGAAGAATGGTGGAAGTTGATCGCCACGGAAACAAGTTTAGCAATCATTCCAAACAACGGAGAGACATCAGCAGCAGGAGAATCAATAAGCTGTATGGCAGTCGATGTGCCTCCCATGCAGATAGCAGATACAGAGGAGATACTACTTGCGGATATCTTCAATGCTAACGCTATGGAGAGAGGTCGGTGTGATGTTGGATTCGAAGACGCCGATTTGGCAAGTTGTCTTGCAATATACACAGACAATGAAGATATAGCAGAAGATGAAGAAGAGGATGAGGAGGCATCGTCTTCTGACGTGGAGGTGAGCGGCAGCGATGTCATCAGCGACGAGGCAGACGAGGAAGATGATGTTTACTATGATTTGAAGGGCGTGGGTGGACAAATGTCAAAAGGTTGGACACATGCAGTTGGCACGTGCTTTTCCCGATCCGCACAATATGCTGCGTGTTGTGATGAAGGGGGCAACACCTGACGGTGCTCTACAGTATGCCGCAATCACCACTATAATGCAAGCATGCAACAAGGGAAAAAAGTGGTCACGTGTTGGCAAGGGATGGTTTGTTCTGGTGAACAGAGAGGCTGTGCTAGCAACGTCACTGACGTGGGGAATCAACCTGAGTTGCCTCATACACGGCGCAATGGCGACAGCTTGCGGAGAGACATTGAACCTCGGCTTGTCAACAGGAGACGCCATAGTTGGTGCTCGACCACGACATCTCTCAACAGGAGACGCCATAGTTCGCAGTCAACCTGGAGTAGTTGTACAAACAACCCTCAACTTGTACATCCCTCAACCACGGTCGGGTTCACCACTGTGTGCCATATAAGTATCCACCGGTGCTGTTTGTTGTCGTTCTGACCCGCACTAGTGAACCACTCTCTCTCTCTCTCTCTCTCTCTCTCTCTCTCTCTCTCTCTCTCTCTCTCGTATGTCTAGTTGTAGCTATAGTACAACCTATACATCCGTCTACAGGTTCTGTGTCATGTTGCCTGTTGTTTGCCTCTCCAAGTACATGCAGTTCACAACAACGTCCAGACATTGGATGCAACTTTATTTCAATCATTTGATGATTGTTACAATGTATGTCATAATTTGTTGCCTTCTGTAGCACGTGAGACACATCACACCCCCTATGATGACCAATGTGTGTATGTTGCGTTTTTTTTTTTTTTTTTTTTTTGCATTCTTTATGATGTCAATTCAAATTTTGCAGGTTGTGAAATGTTTTGGCAATTGATGAGGAGGTCGGCTGAGGTGCCGATGTGCAATAATTTTGATGCAGACGCAGGAAACATATACCACATTCACAAACGTTATGGATGGATAGTTGCAAACTTAACCAGCCGCACAAACGTGGTGATGAATGTCATGTCACATATCGTGTACCTTGAGCAAGTCGTTACCTTTTCCAACAGGACCATGGAACCTGTCGTGGCATATACATTATCGTGTCACACGTCTGACTGCTAATCTTTGTCAATCGGGATCAGTGACAAAGACAATCGGTTCCCAAAACGACATTCAAGATTTCATCGTTCTCTCACTCACACACAGAAGAGGAAGGGCAACACTTACAGAATATAACAAAATATGTTGTGCAACTTATAATTCGAACGACCTCAACCAATGTAAAAAATGTTAATCAAAGCACTGCCCGCACCGTTCTGTTTGTCTTTGGAATGGACTGCATGCACAGAAAATGGACAGCGGTCCACGGGTATGCGACTGTGGCAGGCCTTTCATGTCCTTACGAACTTTGAATTCACATCGTGCGAGGGCATGCCCGACTATGGTGGACGAAAGAGCACAAGGGCAGGAGATGGGTGTTGTTGATGCTTGCGGGCCATCAAACATAGGTGCAGTGAATCTCGTGAGCGATGAGAGTGAGGACATCGGAGCCCCCGAGAATGCAGACGGGGAGGGCGGGCCATTCGCAGAACAGCAACCCCTGCCTGCCGAGTCTTTTGACAGCTCTCGCAAGCTGGCGGCACTGATTTTCTCTGCCAGGGGCTGCCAGGGGCTGCCAGGGGCAGCGTCGGTATGTCGCAGAGTGACATAGATGCTCTCTTGTCACTTCTCAAAGACCCGAGATTCAGCACGACAGACATTGCGTACCGTAATAGTCGAAAGTGTTTGATATGGGCAGGCAGTCTAGCAGAGGTTGCGGGATGGAAGGAGTCGGATCTGCGTAGCGACGACTGGCCACGAGATGCGCACGCCATCTTGTGGCACCGCGATTGGCGAACCACATTTCTGTCGATTTTTAATTCGCATTATAGATATGCGAGACGGTGTCTTCTCTAGAGGTGTCCCCGCCGTCAGAGGACCTCATTATATCTGGCCCGCGCAGCGGGGCGCTAAGTTATCACATCCGGTCGATCATTCGAGCAGACAAAGGTGTGGACGGGAATGAAAATCCACGTTATGTTATCCCTTTGTCGCTCTATTTTTACAAGACACACACGGACGGTCGTCAAAAACATACGGCGTACCCTCTGATGATGTCCCTAGCCGACCACGCATCCGAAGCCACACTGCTGGCCTATCTTCTTGTGATTCATCATCGTCCACGTGACAAAGGATGGGGTCAACAGTCCACCGCATTCAGAAAGCGAAAGGTCGTCATTTTGCACAAGGCCCTTACAATGGTGTTGCAGTCTGCGAAGGAGGCATCTCATGACGGAATAATGATAAGGAAAACGTGATTCGGGAACATAACTGTCCGCCCTTTCCTCCGCAACTGGACTACCCAGAACGATGTGCGCTTGCGACTGTGAAGTTTGGCGTGTGCCCGACATGCACCGTGTCCAGAACCGACTTTGATGTCCTAGCCGATTTCACGGACTGCAGGAGATCACAGACGCTCGAAACACACCTCACAGCAGTTGTGTTCACATCCGACGACATCGACGTGCGACGTGCAGCGGAAGGACGAATGTCAGAGTTGAACATGCATAGGCATGTTCAAAAGAACGGCCTTTGGAGGTTCTACAGGGGCCCCAATGGTGACCACCCTCAGCTAGACTACCACGTGGCATTGCAGCCAGACCGTATGCACACAATCGAGCATGGCATATTCCTGCACATGATTGACGCATTCAGGATGGCAGCGTTTGACAAGTTGTCGCACATACCACAAACAGAGATCCTCAAGGAACTAGATGTCAGGTTGCAGAGCGTTAGTGAGAGATGCACGCGAACATACCCCCAACTTGTGCTGCCGGTGACCACTGACAACGATTTTTTTTCGAGGGAGGGTCGGTTCGAGGCGAAGCAAAACCGGTTTGTGATGACAGTGTGCGTGTTCCTTATTTGTCATATTGTCCCGCGCTCGACAGGCAATGGAAATGTATGTACGAGTGTTTCGGTGCACAACACACACTCGTGCTTCGCTCGACGAATGCGACACTTTGATCACGGACTTCATTACGACCATCAAAGCGAAATTGGGGAGATATCAACCATCAGAATGGAAACTCCCCAACTTGCACGATCTGATGCATCTGAGAACGTGTATTGAGCGATCCGGTGTTCCTGACAACTTCGCAACAGACGTTTGGGAGCATCACCACAGGAAATTCTGCAAACAGCCATACCTGTCATCAAACAAGCGGAAAGCCTCAACCGAGATGGTGAACCATGTACGCCGGTCGTTGGCGTTGCAAGAAGAGACCGGGGTCGTGAGGAAACGGAGGAAGAGAACGGTCGAGAACCGATCGTCTGTGACAGACTGCATGACCACGGGAATGAATACCCTTGCACTACGCGATACGGGAATCCTGCGGTGGTTCGACACCGATGACGAGCACATACGGGAAGGAGAAGGCATTGACAACCGTGCGTGTAAGATATTTGAAGAGCTTCCTTTCAGACGCGATTTTCGAGCAGCGCTTACGACCTACATGGTGGAGAATGGTTGTCAACCTCCTTCTGATGACCTGCTTATACACACAAGAACACACCTGGCCATCGCCTGCGTACAGGACGGAACAAACAGGGGCACACTTGTTCAAACTGCAAGAGCGTCGCCGCAGTTCCATGGGAGACCAGTGCACAGTGACGTCGCAATAAGAGCAGAAAACGAATGCACATAGTTTGCATCAGTAGCCATGTTTTTTGTCGTGGCCGCACCGACGAACAGCGAAAATATGGAACACAGCTGCGGATTTGTGCAATGGTACAAGGAGGTCGACAGTGAACGGCAACACGTGACAAGATGCAAGAAATTGAAATGAGAGAAGTTGAATGGACATCAACACAGCAGCGTCGTATCAACCTACACTATTGTAGACATCGTTCACATTGTTCCACGCTTCTGTAAACCACAATGGGGATCGAAGCAGCATGCAATACAGCGTGAGGACTGTTTTTTTTAACAAGTACATATTGTAGAAAAAACAATTGCAAAGTTTTTATCTTTGCTAAGAGAGAGAGAGAGAGAGAGAGAGAAAGAGAGAGAGAGAGAGAGAGAGAGAGAGAGAGAGAGAGAGAGGGAGAAGAGATCGTAACGACCTTCATCAAAAATCTAACGAATTATGTAAGTCTGTCTAGCTGGAATCATCACGGGACAGCCATGTTGTTTCATAAGAAATTCAGGGAAACAAGAGAGGACATTTGTCTCTTTCTTTCTGTCATTTTTAGAGAAATATCATGCCAAACGTGGCCGAGTTTATGAAGTGGTGAAAACCACATGCGAAACAACCGTGTCCCCAAAAGTTCACTACTGCGTGACATTTACGAGGTCAACAATGACATTCCTTTCACTTTTAGCACGCAGTAGTCTCTCTCTCTCTCTCTCTCTCTCTCTCTCTCTCCAAACTATCCTGTAAAAACGATTCGATTTCTTGCTAAAAAACTTAGCAATTTGTCATTGTCATTCCTAGTTGACCAACACGTGTGAACAGGAACAGAAACTTACAACGTCGCACAACAAGGGGGACGGGGCAACATAGAATACAGAATAACAGGGTACAGGTAAGAAAAAGCGAGCAAGGATGACAGGTGAGGGAAGACAGAGCAACACATCGAAAACCTTGAATTGTCGTCGAGGCCGTGAGACGACAATGCGAGGAAAGTTCATTACTGCAGGCATTTGTTACATAAAGACCGGTGGCTTGACCAGGTGATTGACTCGCAGTAGCCAACCTTGTCCCGGTGATGGACGGGGGCATTTCCCAATTAGTTTTTTTTGCTTGAAGTATATATATATTTTTTTCCTTGAGTACGCGAACCCAAACCGCCTGACAAAACAGATACAATCATTTTGATGCTGAAAGAGGTTGGTAACTTGCATGACGTCGCAATTTTAGAAATAAGATCTTGGTTGCGCCTCTCTCTCTCTCTCTCTCTCTCTCTC